TCGGCAGTCGGCAGTCAGCAGCCAAAGCCGGTATCCTGATAACGGAGCGACCATTGTTGTCCGGGAACAGACTCGACCCAGTCGGTGGTGGTCTGGGCCAGTTGCTTTTTATGTGTCATAACCATGGCGGTGAATGCAAGCCTAGACAAGGGGGCACCCATTGTGGACGTATAAGCGCATCGGGTTAGGGCCTGTTGACAGCGACGGCGGACTTTAATGGCCGGCCAAAACGGGCGCAAAAGGCAAACAGAAGCTGCAGGACGGAGTGGAGCAAACAATGGCCGCGCCATCATTGACTGCGTTAATTGCTGTCATTCATTTGAAAAGTCATATGAGCGATTTTCGGACCAGAACGGCCTCGACTTTGCCTTTTGCGTCCCTTGCGCCGTTAAAAGTGATGATTACGCGTTCACCCTTTCGCTTTCGTCGACGATTGCAGCGCTCTCTTCCTCATAAAATTTTACGGAGCTTGCCTTTGTGCCTGGCTGGCGCTTTCCTCCTCCATGTCATCATCGTCATCGATGGTCGTGCAGATCTTAATCCCCCCCTGGGTGGGTCCAAAAACAATGTGCGCTTTACTTTTACTTTTATTCCGGCCCTTTATTGTTATTTGCTTACTTAGACCCGGACCGGATTGGTACTCGTTCGTTCTCTAGTCCCTCGATCCCTTTTTGAATCCAATTTGGCTTCTAAGCCTTCGACAATTTCGCTGCGGTCGTTTATTGATTTTAACCCCAAACAGATGAGGGCTGAAAGGTTGGGGTTGGGCAGGGAAAAATACGATATGTGGTTGTCATTATCCATTGGGGCGTGGCTTGTATCATGACCGTTTAATAAACATTTTAAAAGCATTTATTTTTTCTGGTTCTCCGACTTATGGATATTCACCACAGCATCCATCCTGGAATAACGCAGCACTTAGCTTTAACGCGGCGTAAAGCAGGAGATGCATATTGAAACGCCCTCATGGCCGCAACCCTTCTTTGGATCGGATGCACATACATAAATTCCGCTCGTGTGGTTTTCCAAATGCATTACGCCTTACCCCACGCCCCTCCTTGACCTCGGCTAAGCTAATCAAGGGCTGAGCCAACAATTCACTTAGCCCTGCCCGCCGACCCGCCGACCCGCCGACCCGCTTCCATCATATCAGCTCCGTGCATCCTTTCGCTACGTTTCGTTCGTATGGTTTGGCTCGACTTTGTCCGTCCGTCCGGAGCCTCATGCATAAACCAATTTGCTTTGCATAAGCAGTGGGTTGGGTTTCCCTAGTGAGACCTCTCCAATTGCAGCAATTTTCCAACTTCACTTTATGCATTTATGCGCCTTTGTCTGCGGCGCTGCCCTTCGTCTTCCGTTTTTGTTGCTGCTGCTCATCGTCTGCGGCGTCGGGTCATTAATTTGGAAGCGAACACCTCCTGAACCACCTCCGCCTCCGGGATCTGTGGCGCCGGACGACCGGCTCGGCTCGAGTGGTCAGCAACCAACCCGTCCAGGTTCTTGGCGCATTTCCCCAGCGTGGAATTAGGAAATTGCATTTGCTGGCGAAGCGAGCCGGCAGCGACGTAACGGAATTTACGCGGTGTACTCCGCCGCGGACGCGGAAGACTTCCTATCGAAACTGCGGCCGGAGCGGTCCTTCGATAGCTGGAAATTGCCAAAATGTAAATTCTCATATGCCCAGCAGGCAGAGCCGGCAAATAAATTTATTGCCCGCGTAGGCATAGCACCATTTCCCATTCCCATTCCCATTCCTACTCCCAATCATCATCATCATCATTGGCTTTGCCATTGCCATCGCAATCGGATGAGGATGATCACGGCGGCTGTGCGAGTTTGGGAGCCTAAAATATTCATAATCAACGCGGCATTAGCTATGGCTGCGTTTTCATTTCGTTTTTGGCTTCTGCCGTTCTGCTCATCAATGAATCAGCATCGGAGCTTGTGGCGTAATTGGGGCTATGTTTTAGTTATGAGCTGGTCCAGTGTGCGGGTGCTCCACGACGGATGGGTGGGGTAATGGAAGCATGACAGCTGCTCTGATTTTAAATTGATACATCACATCCCGGACCTATGCAGTGCGCACCGTCTTGCATCTTTCCCCACCTTTCCCTCGCTGCGACTGCGACTGCGACAATAACAACCATTAAGTGTGGCCAACACGTAACAGGGCAATAAACAAGCGTGACAAATGATGCTGCTAAATGAAAGTTGATTGCCAGTTGACGGCCACACCTGTTCGGACTGCTGTCCAGGGTCCAGAACGCAGGACATCCCGATTCCGATTCTGAGTCCGTGCAGGACAACAGTCGAAATTGTCAGAGACGTCGAAAAAGAAAGCACGGACCGGAAAATGGCCGCGAAAAAATCGCAGCACGACGGATGTTAGCATCGTCGCCTCGTCGCAGTCCAGGATCGGGTCCTGCTTCTGTGTCAGTCGCATTAATAATGATGGCGACGACAAAATGGCCGCCGAGCTCCGCTGTGTCCTTTGATGTCACGTGTCGAGGCTGCGTGTGATTTCTACGACAGGACATCGCATCGAATCGGCAGCGAACGGAGCACAAAGGAGGCGCTGAGACCCGCTGTTTTCCATTCAAATTGCAATGTTGCAGGGGCCTCCTCACATCAATTTCGATGGACGATAAACGACAAAGTGTGTAAGTTGACAGCAACCAAAGATCTCCCAGCATGTCTCTCAAATTAATTTAAACGAATGGAAAAAGAGTGCGACATGCATCATTGTTCCCATCAGATTTCCACAAGACAACGTCCCGTAAATCGGAGATTAAAGCAGCCCCTGTTGGACAACCTTTAAGCCAGTCTCGCCCAGCTCCAGCCAGTCGAGTCAGACACCAACCAACCTCGGGTATTTCAAAAACTCCCCCAGGTTGTCAGGGACCGAACGACCAAGCAAGCAAATTACTAATTGGCAAGCAAAACGCTCCGGTTGTTGGCCAGCAAACAACGACGACGACAACGACAGAGTCGTCTGGACTGCCAAGGGATGCCATCCGAAGGTGGCACACATGGCACACAAGCTTCATTAACTCAAACTATGCTGCATTTTGCGATTATCAAATTGTCTTTACACACATGAAGCCAACGATTGAAGCGGAGGAGGAGATGGGTACGGAGGACCACTGGCACTGGTACTGGCACTGATGACTGCTGATGGCAAATAACAAGTGGAAGAGCTGCAGGACGGCAACCGCAGAAATATGAAGCGCATGTTGCAGCAGCAGAATGGGTGCAAAATCCTCGAAATGCTTTAGGATATTTTGTTGGGCAAACAGCCATGCAAAAGTGCAGCAGGCGCCCTCGTTCACGTTCTCCTGCTGGGAACGACAAACCACTGCCTCGAGCGATGGACATCTGATGGACGAGTGGTCCAGCGGCGGGGCAGATAATGCGGAGTGACAAACTGCCGGAGCGAACGGAACCCGGACACCGACTGGCCGCATTATCACACCTGGCGGTGATTAGAGACTCGACGACAGCGCAGCTCTTGAGTGTCATGTGGCGCAGCGATTGATAGAAAGTCTTTGATTGGTGGCAAAGGTCGCAGGGGATTTAAACCGTGACGGGTCTGGGGGCAACTGGAACCTCCTGCTGTTGGCCTGACCATTTGCAATTAGCCTGTCGCATGGAAAACTTCCTCCAGTTACCGCAGCTTAATGAACTCCCAAAGAACTTAAGATCCAAGTTTCCAACGCTTCTGGGTAAACAAAACAAAACAAAACTTTCGCTGCTAACAACTGGATGTGGGTCACTGTTTCGGATTGCAGCCAAAGTTCCCCTTCGCACGTAGTCTAGTGTAGTGTAGTGTAGTGTTGTTGCCGACTATGCAAATATTTTCCGTTTAATTAACGCATGAAAACTAGCTGCCACGGAGGGGTGTTGCGATGGAGGATGAAGGTGAGGCAAGGATGGGCTAGTGTGGCGGCCACTGTCGCTGCAGATTAAAATAAATTGCACAGAAATTTATCATTCGAATCTGGAGGCAAACAACAACAAGGGCTGACTTGACACAGTTGCAAAAGTTGGCAAGAAAGTGGAGCTTTGGGTCAGTTCTCCGTGTATGCGAGCCATAATTAATCATAATAAAAGAGGGGCAAGCAGGGGAAGAGTAGATGCCGGAATTAGTCGGCGGGGCGAGGAAAAAATAACCACAATTTCCCAGCATTTTCTTTGCCATTAAAATAAATGAGCCAATTAAGCTGCGGCCCAAACGCCCTTGTACCACCTGATGAGGGTGAGCGGAGCGCAAATCCGACCCGGATTGGATTGGATTGGATTGTTCAGGGATGGGCTGGGTCCAGGTGTTGCGCATCATCATCAGCGTCGGAGATTCGCAGGGTCGGTCCTTTTCCCAATTTATGCAGTGGCTGCTTGAATTTATTTATAGCTCTTAACGGTTCGTCGACTTGTTGACTAGGTTAAGTCGTTCGAAAATTCGCTGCTAATGAAACTGAAGGAGCCGCTAATTTTTGGCGCGTTGTCAACGCAACAACAAGAAGGAAGGTTATCACTAGCATCTGAGCTCAGTTCTCAGACGTACTTTTGAACTAAGCCAGACGGCAGAGATAGTTGTGATTTCGTGGAACGCAGATTGAAATCTTCCAACTAAATCTATTTTTTTGCCTACTAAGCAAGACGTTGAAAAAATCCCCTAACTAAATTATTGCGTGGCTAAATATATGTAATTGCTGTATCCACAAAAAATTGTCATCACCTTTTAAGCAGAACGATAGTAATAATGGGTTACATTGAAATTGATACGATCGCAAGCTGTAGAGCAAAAAGTATGTTTTTTGTGATTGCAATGGCTTAGCTAATCACTGTTTTTCTGTTACTCAACTCTGGCGATTGAACGCTTGAACGATCTTGATGTTACCAGTTTCCACCGATTTGGCACGAGATGCGAGATGATTAATTGGTTGCGGTTCCACTGAGCTGCCGCCCTCCCCCCCTCGACCTTCCCCTCCAACCACTGAGTCTCTCTTGTCACTAACTTTATTGTCAACCTTAGACTACCAGTGCCGGAGCCCGACTAATTAGAGCTCTGGCACGAAACCAGACACAAATCGTGCGGCACCTGCTGGCCACCCACCTTTTCTGCAGCGGTCGAGGTAGCCTGCTCCGCGTCCTGGCACCTCCTCCGCCGCTCCGCGCAGGCGGCAGCCTGGACGACCGCAAGGGCGGTGCCGGCACCCAGCAGCGAACCGGCCGCAACATCTGACCAGTGGTGCTTGAAGTCCATCACCCGGCTGAGGGCCACGAACCAGGCGACGGCCACGCAGGCCAGCTGGAGTATGGGGCCCAGCAGGGAGCCGGCCAGGGGCCAGCGGCGACGGCGCAGGTGCAGCGCCACGAAGACCAGGCCGTAGAAGGCCATGGCGGAGTGGCCGCTGGGGAAGGACACGTTCACGTCCCGGATCATGTCCTCGCTGGCCAGCGACAGATCTGGCCGGCAGGTGTAGTCCGCATGGTACTCCAGTGCTCCGCGATGAACCAAATCGGAGCAGTTGGTTCCGTCCGGAAAGTGTGGTCGGCACACTGCGAAGAAGTGGGGTCGCAGGCGGCCGATTGTGTGCTTGGCAATGCCTTTGAGCAGGTCGTTAAACACGTAGCCGTAAAGGAACCAGCGCACCGTGTTCTGCACCGGCCAGAGCTTCGCCCACTGGTCCACGCCCCCCTGGTAGCAGGAGAGGCTCTCCAGGACGAACAAAAGGATCAGCGGCAGGTACAGTCCCAGCCAGTGGAGCATCGTGGGGCTGACGGTGTTCTCGTGGTACGGATACATCAAGGACTGGTCGTCGCAGAAGAAGCCGCGCTTTGTGGGCGGTCCCCAGAAGCGGGCGAAGTTCTCCACCAGGACGAGCAGGAGGCCCAGCAGGAGCACGTCCACCAGCAGGTGGACAGGAGGCCGGAAGCGTAGGCTGAAGCTCATCTTAGGTGCTCGATCCGGATGCCGTGCGCTCGATTCGACGACTCAGTGACTACTGATCTGTGGCGCGGGTCGAAGTCGGACATCAGCCCCCAGCAATCTGAGCTGAGCTGAGTCGAATTATTAATAAACAATTCGCATTGTTGTCACTGATTGTATTATTAGACTCCAGCCAAAAGGGGGCTCGAGCTGACGTCGACAATATATGTACTTGTACTCCGTTCGATGGAAATCCCGGTTCGAAAAACAAAATGATCGCCATTGGCTGAGCTAAAGCTAGCTGTTTTGCACTCTTATCAGATATCGACTTGTTGCCACGCACGTGCTGTCGCTATTATCGCCACCTTGTCACCGACTGGCCCTGAAAACCAACGCTGCAAAACACGCGAGTTGCTGTTTACTACGGAACCCAGATCTCAGCTTATGTTGACCGCAGCCCCTACACTCATACAAATGTTCGCCATAAAAAAACAATATATTAGTGACGAAGTTTTCTTAAATTTAGCGTGATTTTCTTAAATTTAAGGCGATTTTTCACAAATTAGGGACAATTTTTTCTTGAAAATAAATCTTTTTTTTCTTATTTTCTAAAATTTCTTTCTTTTTTAAATTCAGCTCGATTTATTTTTGTTATTTCAACACAAACAAATACATACATTCTATTGCTGAAACAATTTTCTTATTTTGAAATATTTTATTTATTATTTTTTAACAAACATTTATGTTGCTTTTAACATGCAAATTAATATTCGATATTTATAACAGAAAATAAGATACTATATATGATAATTTATTTAATGGATTAGAGAAATATATTTATAAATCAATAAATTTACTGTTTTGAGTAACTCGAACACCCGACCTCTGAGTTTGTAATCGAGCTCGCTAACCAATAAGCTATGTAGTCATCGCGAAGGGCGACGATCGAGAGCTTTACATATTTTATTTTTTTTTTGGTTCACAACTTCATTCTTAACATCAAAGTCGTACCTATAATCACATTCGATTTAAAAAAATAAATTTTAAAATAATAATATATAAATTTACGTTACGCAAAGGCAAAATATTTGTTTCTAGTTTAATTTCTTCTTGCTGGTATATTAGTTTAAGTTTAAATTTCAAAATATAGATTTATTAAATTTAGTTAAAGTATTAGTTTATTATTTGCGATGCACTTACAAATCGTTTTAGTATAGTATCAAATATTTAACTCATTTAAACAAACACACACTTAAATTAAGAAAAAATGTTGGCATATTCTCGGATGAAATCGCACTAGATTTAAGAATAAATTTCTCTTTTTATGAAAAATAGCCCAAAAAACTATTTTTTGTGGTGATTTATCTAATATTTAGGAATATTTCCTAGTATTTATAAAAATATTTTTATGAGTGTAGAAAGCACAGAAAAAGTTTGTGGAAAGCTCGCCATCGCTCTGCGGAGCTCTCTTCAAATGTTATTAATTGTCGGGTCAGGGGTCCCTCAAAATCAGATTAACATCGACTGATTCATGAGCTAGGTTCACCAATTGAACAGTCGTAAGAGATGCGGCGTCTTCTCACGATCATCTTCGTGGCAGAAGAGTTTCGGGGAAGACAAACTCTTGTTGAGCGCCTCTGACGCAGCACAAAATCATCAAAACGTTGATGAATCATGGCCATCCAGCACACATTCCAGGCGATACCAGTAGCCAACGCAGCCAGGTATGACAGCACTGTGCGAAAATCGGTGTCAGATTACATACCCAAACTGAATACAGGCAGCTTCAGCTTAAAAACTTGCTTGTGTGTTTCTTGTTTCTTGTTTAAAAGATTGTTCAATAAGTGTTTCCAGCATAATATTCATAGAATATAGAAAAACCAAAAAGTATGTTTGTCATTTTTTAAAAGCGCCAAATGAGTAATTAAAAAAAAATGTTCAAGCGGGAAGTTTAATATAAATAACTTTTTTTATACCCTTGCAGAGGGTATTATAATTTCAGTCAGAAGTTTGCAACGCAGTGAAGGAGACATCTCCGACCCTATAAAGTATATATATTCTTGATCAGCATCACTAGGCGAGTCGATCTAGCCATGTCCGTCTGTCCGTCTGTCCGCCTGTCCGTCTGTCCGTCTGTCCGTCTGTCCGTCCGTTTATATGCAAACTAGTCTCTCAGTTTTAAAGCTATCTGCATGAAACTTTCCCAAAAGTTGTCTTTCTATTGCAGGTAGTATATAAGTCGGAACGAGCCGGATCGGACGACTATAGCATATAGCTCCCATAGGAACAATCGGAAAAATAAATGAAAAAAAATTATAACTTTGCTGTTTTTTAATTTTTTGTTTAGTTCTTCGACATTTAGTAATGGTTAAATATTTCCGATTTACGGTTTAAATTTCATCAAAATCGGACGACTATAGCATATAGCTCCCATAGGAACAATCGGAAAAATAAATGAAAAAAATTATAACTTTGCTGTTTTTTAATTTTTTGTTTAGTTCTTCGACATTTAGTAATGGTTAAATATTTCCGATTTACGGTTTAAATTTCATCAAAGTCGGACGACTATATCATATAGCTCCCATAGGAACAATCGGAAAAAAATTATAACTTTTCTGTTTTTTAATTTTTTGTTTAGTTCTTCGACATATAGCAATGGTTAAATATTTCAGAATTATGGTTTAAATTTTATCAAAATCGGACGTCTATATCATATAGCTCCCTTAGAAATAATAAAAATATATAAAATAACTATCAAATAATTGGGCTGCAAATCATCATAGCTTCAATGTTTTTAAACATATACGAAAGTAAATCATAATTTTAATGTTTTCAAAAATGTTTAATTCTTGCAATAGCTGCAAGGGTATATGAACTTCGGCTTGCCGAAGTTTGCTTTCTTTCTTGTTAATAAATGACATCAACAAAGAAGAAAAAGAGAAATTAAATTGAATAGCTCATGGCGGCTTTGGGAACCAATGCACGCAAAAACTCTAGGCACTGAACCCAGGTAGTCGTTCAAAACTTAAGAAACTGTCAAGTGAAGTTTAATGATATTGTGAAGCTAATTCTAACTAATTCTACAGTCCAAAAATGTATTTTTTCTCAAAGTGTTGTTTTACCGACTAGGCCCGTCTATAGCTCGGTCCTGATTCATCCAATTCATTTTCAAAGCATAAGTATTTATACTTCTTGAACAGAATTCTAAGAATAAATCGGTCTTTAAGGTGTAATTTTGCTTCTGAATGTTGTCCATCGGCTTAGATTAAATTTATTTTATAAAAAAAATTGTTTTCAATAAATATATATCCCAGAAGACTCATAACTTGGTTTTTATAGACGAAAATTATACAGCGTCATGTTTAAAATATTTTCAAATATTCCCAAACAAAAACAGTCATAAGGGAAATGTCTAAAATTGTTAAAGGTGGGTGAAATAATTTTTATTAAAGCGCCCGATATACTTTCGATAGTAAAACAACACCAAATATATATTGTTTAGAATTAATACTTTTACCTTTATACTGCCTTTAGTTAAGTTTTTAAGCTACGACTTTTTTTCGGTGTAAAATTATAGTTGGAGCGAAAAACAGCAATGTTAAAAATGTTTTCGTCTGGGCAAATACAACTGGAGCACTGCATACACGATGTATTACGAAACCAAATTATAAAGTTCTTTATCAATATAATGCAAGACTCCTAATCAAAAACTCGAAAGTTTTGTCAATGATTCTTGACACTAAAAGTCTTTGAACTATTTAAAAGTGGACTATTATTGATCTGTGTCAAACATAAGATAAATTGGGTAATATTACCAAATAATGCTCAATACATTAGCACTTGCCTGAATACCTTGGGGCTGATTGTCAAGACGACATTGAAATGTGAAAACTTAACAAATAAAGAATACGAACAACAGATAAGCGAGAACGCAAACAATGGAGCGGGTTAAAACAACACAGTGGGAGGGAGTATGCGTAATATTGAGCTTACTTATTTATTTTACTGGTACCAATTACAATACACAAATAATAATACGACGACTTACGAGTAAGATGGGACTGCATATGAACTATACAAATGGGTGATGTCTAACCCTAATGCTCTATAACGAGGTGAGTGGATGATGCTACAGATTCAACTCGGGCTGCTGGTTCATCCACACTTTATTGCTACCTTTGGAATGTTTCGAATTTACATGGCCCCCAGAGCCAGTGGCTCCCTCAGACCTTCGTGCAGTACTGGTCCTCGTTGAAGCTGCTGTTCGCCGAGTAGGGTGGCGGCGTGCTGGGGCACACCTCCTCCTGCAGCGTGGCCGCCGTGTTCTCCCTTCGCAGGCCACCGGTGAGGATGCCGATGGCGGCCCCCTCATCAAACATCCCCGCGATGAAGCGGGCGGTGATCAGCGCCCCGGCCACGCCTAGGAGTGAACCGGAGAGTACGTCGGACCAGTGGTGCCAGTGGTCCACCACGCGGCTGAGGGCCGTGTACCAGGCCACCATCACCAGGGCGAACTGCACGAAGTGGCGGCCCAACTTGGATCCGCGCCAGGTAAGCTTGCGCTGCAGGTAGAGCGCCACATAGACCATGGCATAGAAGGCCAGGCTGGAGTGGCCGCTGGGGAAGCTCAGGCGGGACTGGCGGACGTCGTCCGCGGTGAAACCCTCGCCGGCGCACTCGTAGTTCTCCACGTAGCGGTGCAGGTTGGACGGGTCGGAGCACAGGCTGCCGTCCGTCAGCTGCGGCTGGCACACGGCCAGGAAGTGGGGCCGCAGCCGGCCGATGGTGTACTTGCCCACCTCGGTGGCGTCGAAAGTGAGCAGCAGGCCGAAGCAGAAGTACCAGGACTGGCGGCCCAGCTCCGCGTACCAGGTGGCCATGCGCCAGCCCAGCAGGTTCACGGTGGCCGAGGTGTCTCCGGCGCGCAGGTGGCTTACATACTCCACCACCACGAAGATTAGGACCGGCAGCAGGCCCACAATCAGGCCCAGCATCACCGGCGTGATGGTGTTGTCCCGGAACGGGTAACCGATGCTCTCGTCGTCGCAGAAGAATCCACGGCGGACCGGATCCACGGCGAACTCGTACACGCAGATGGGGATCACGAGCACCACCACCACCAGGAGTTCCATGAGCAGCCGCCGGGTCATCCGGCGGTCCGCTCCAGTCGACTCGGTCACGATCGGAGCGGGCAGGGGAACGGCTGTGGACTGATCTTCGGGCGCGTCGCGCATTTCGTGGCTGGATCGCTCTAATTAGTTGATATTCCAAGTGGCCTTAATGCCCGCTAGTAATTAGCTTTTCGTTTCGTTTTCGGTTCGCTTTTTGCCCGTCGCGATCGCTTCGTTCGTTGCTTCGGGTTCGTTGTCAGTGGCTGACTGAACCGCCGGCGCTTGGGTAACGTTCTTTTAATTTAACGCTCATTTGTTGGGCGGTACTGGGACTGCGACTGGAACTGCGACTGAGTCTCTCCCCTCATTGTTTTTGGCTGCCCAACGCTCTCGGCACTCGGCTAATTTTGGAACTCTCTGCGTCAGAGCAATTTGTTTATAGCCTATTTTATGATAGTTGGCGGGGATCTAGATATTATTGCAGTTCTAGATTAGACAAAAGCCAAAAGACACTGAAATGAAGAAATGGGATTGGTTAAAAATCAAGACAAGACTTTTATTGGGCCTAAAAGCTTCGTCCACAAATAATACAATTGTGAACAAAAAAAATATATATATTTATTTGGCTAACTAGCGCAATTTTCCCTCAGTGTATCTGCTCAAACAAGCTCAAGATCACTTTGATAAGATAAATCAGTGTGTTCGTGATATAGTGCCAGATCATAGCAATTCAGCGCTTTCGCGTGATTACTCAGTTCCTCTGGTTGGCCAATTAGACCGGTGTCTTCTCGATATCTTGAAGGGGTTTTCTGCTGATAAGTGTTAGCCAAGCATCGATAGGAGCGGGTCAACAAGCCGGGCCACTGGCGTGACTCAAGGGTTACTCATTGAGTGGCATCCTATTGTTCTCGGGCAGCCAGCCGTTGCATAGGCGCGCCTCCACAAGATTCGCACTATCGGGTCCGCGGACTTGCAACTCTGCTTGGTGCTAATCTCTCCCCAAGAATGGCCTCCATTGTGCCCCCCGCCCGCCACTTTCCGGGTTCCTGATCTGCATGACATCTTTAGGAGTGGGAGTGGGAGTGGGGAAAGTGGAGTGGGAGTTTATGTTTCTGCCGCACATGTGCACAAAGTTTAACTGTCAATTATATTAAAAAACGGAGACCAACTCCGTTCCGCTCCGAACCACACTCACTCGCTTTGATATTCGTATTCACAGACGCACTCATAGTGGGACGTCAAATGGCGCGACCTTTAATTGAATGAATAAGCGACATTTGATTGAATTAAGGCGGCCTGCCTCTGTGAGTATTGTGAGTATCTCCAGCATTCCCTCCCCTCCCCTCAGCTCCTAAATACTGAATGCTTGACTGTGTGGAGCGTACAAACATATTCAAAAAAGGGCTCCCTGGCGCTAGTTTGCGACTGCATTTATTTTAAAGTGCCCTGTGAACTTTGAGCTCAAGTTAAATAATTCCTAGGCCCATTAACTCACTTTTTATGCAACCGAGACGATGGGTTTATGATTTAATGGCATCACGTTTGTGTATATTTTTTTGGCCGTCACGTACTCAGCCGTGTAATTAAATAATTGTGCACCTTCACTACTGCTTTTCGCTCAATTTTTGTTTGTTTGATTTATCCGAGCCGTAAACTTTTAAGCGCCGCTTCGCGATCGCGACTGAATGATGAAAATGAAAACAAACGACTTTGTTGGCTTTGTAAACAAATCTATGGAGTTGTTCTTGTACCGGCGATTATTGAGAGAGACTCATTAGTCACAGAGAAAGAGAGAGAGGCGGGAGAGAGCCGGAGAGAGAGCGTTTGTGGACAGTGGTCAGCCGTCTTATCAGAAAGTGGCGATCGCGAGCCACTTGTTGTGTGGATCGTAAGCAATGGTTCGGAACGTGGCTAAACCAGCATGGGGTTCTTCTACCGGCTATCGGCAGTCACGCTTGAAAGGCTTGAAGCCGAATTAACGAATAGAAAAGCGAAACAAAAAATGGTTCTATAAATCAATTCTCAGACTATGAGATTACAAAACGAAAAAATCTCATAGAAATATGCACCTCATTTTGATGCCAACCAAAGTAGCTTCGAATAAAATAAGGCTATATATGTACATCTCAAAGAAAATTTAAATTTAATGTAATTTCTTTTACATTTCTTTTTGCATTGACTTGAATTGTTAGCGCAACGCCAAATTCTTTTTATAAATAAATAGTAATTTTCATTTTTTTGTGACTAATTTTGTGGTTTATTTTGTGAGTAAGCATACTTTTTTAAAGAGACTCACGATTATTAGACCCTTTCAAAGAGTACTATAATCATAGTATAAAGTTTTCGACCTTATTACAAATTATTCATAATCAAGCTATGTCCTTATTCGAAAGATATTTTATACGATTTCAAAAATACAAATATAGCAACATTAGACTGTAAAGACACAATAGCTGCTATAAAAGAAATTAAGAATTTGAATTCTCAAATCGAGGATAAACGCGTATGGTTCCGGGTTCAATTCTACGGCACACATTTGCTTTTACATTAAATTATTTTATTTATCGCAAATATTATAACAATTAATTATGATTTTAATCAAAAAAATGTAAGCCTTAAAAGTTAACTCAAAAGACCGAAGAAAAAGGGAAAACGATTGTTTTCAAATTAAATTTCTATGTATAACAAACATTTAAATTGAAAGAAAATGGGAATTATATTTTTGGCAGATTTATTCTATTCTCATTCTGAAAACAAAAGTTCTGGTTCTTGAAAATTAATATTTAAACTAAGTAAATTAAAAATTGTCAGATTATGCTTGTTAACTGTCTAGTTTATTTATTTATTTTTATAGTTCGGTAAAATTGGGCAAAGCCCAGCTCAGCACGAAACTTTAGATCCCCCTATTATCAAATTAAATGTTTTCATTCATTATTAAATAGCACGGGCTCGGAATCGGAGCCGGATTAAACCCAATAAGCAAGAATCGACGCAGACCCATACATGCAATTAAAGTTTAGCTTCACACCAACTGGTTGGGTCAATAAATTAAAAGCGTTTTATTACCGTGGCTAAGTGTAGTTAGACCAACCCTCTGCCCCCTTGGATCAGTACCCGTAAGTGGCTCTGCTGTAGTAGCCTGCGTAGCCGTAGATCTGCTCGTTCCTCGGCCACTGGCGCCGCTTCACCCGCACCTCCGCGAACAAGTGGGCCACGGACACGGTGGCGAAGATTGCGATTAGAGAGCCGAGGGCAGCGCCCGCCGCCACATCCGCCAGGTGGTTCTGGTAGGTGGAGATGCGCTCCCAGCAAACCACCATGCCCAGCGATCCACAGGCCAGCTGCAGCGTGGCCCGCACCAAGCGCAGCCAGGGCGCAAAGAGCCGGGCCTGAGCGTAGAGGATCAGGAAGCCCATGGCGTAGCAGGTGCTCGACACAAACCCGCTGGGGAAGGAGTGGCGCACCAGGGCGAGCAGGTCCTGCGAGGCGGCGAACTCCGTGCAGTCGAAGTGCTCGAGGAAGCGGGTGGAGTTCTCCGCCGAGTAGTCGGAGCAGCTCTCACCCCCATCGCCCCACGTGGGCTGGCAGATGTCGAAGAAGTGGGGTCTCAGGCGGCCCGTTGCGTGCTTGGTCAGGCGGATCGCCAGCAAGGTGAGGCCCAGACCGAAGAGGTACACGCCCACGGCCTTGTAGCACTCGCTGATGAAACTGGGGATGCGGACGCCCACGAAGACGAAGCGCTGCCTCAGCTCCACCGAACTGGGCACCACGGCGGCCCTCAGCATCTCCACCACGAGCACAAAGGCCGCGGGCAGGGCCACCACCGCGACGGTGAGGTGCACCTTGGTCAGCCAGGGCTGGCGGTACGGGTACTTCAGGCTGACGTCGCTGCAGTGGAAGCCACGCTGGGCGGTGGCCAGCTGCTGGGGCAGCACCACCAGGGCCGCTCCGTAGATCCCCAGCAGGAGCAGGAAGTCAATGACTAGCCGCGAGAGCAGACGCGTGTTCGGATTGCCGCACATTTTCAAACTGGGGAGCGCGCGGCGACCGAAGTTGTCGGATTCTTTCGACCTGGTTAGGGCTCATTTGCATTTCCATCAGCCATCCAGCCATCAGCCATCCAGCCATCTAGCCGTGTTGGTGGCTACTTTGTGTGGCACAAACTTGTTTCACAAACCTTTGTTTTGCTTTTCCCTCTGATCAGACCGTTGGTCTCCCTCGCCTATCGATTGCTTAAATATGCCGAGGCTTAGATAATTTATTCCTACATCAGAAAACTATTTTTATAAGTTCAAATTCGACGTTTTCAAAATTCAAAAATATTCCTGTATTTTCTTAGACTAGGAAAATGTTCGTTGATTTTACTATAACTATTGTAAATATTTAAATTTTTTTTGCAAAACTTTCTTAATGAAAACAAATATATGAAGCTTATCTATTCTTCAAGTTTGAATCCTAAAAAATATAGGTGTTCCTAAAAAAAATTCTTAATTTTAATGTATCTATTGATTTGTTTAATCAGAACTGGAATTTTTTGCATATTTTAAAAGTTTAGACTTTTAAAAATATGATCCTAAAATGATTTTTCAAACTTCGAATTAGACTTCAATTTTTTTGTTTGATAAACCGACATTTTGTCTAAAAACTTTATTTTGTCTATTCCTTCGATAAATTACTTGACTTGACAATACTTTAGATTCAGAGGATCCAGCCTAAAGATATAGTGATCACTGCAGAATGCCGTTTTGGAGAGGAGCTGCCGGAGATGAGCATTAGCTCCTTTCCAAATAAATATTTCTTCCAATCATAGTCTTAAAATACCGTTCAAATAAACCATAATATCTGCCCAAAATATCAGATAATTCAAAAATGTATACTAAAAATGTTGTTCATTTTTTATATATCTTACTTGAAAAAATTCCCAAAACGCAGGTTTCTAGTCCAGACTACCCCATTAATGCGCTAAGAGTATGTTTTAGATATTGGATAAATATTTTGAGTCTAAAAACAAATAGATGTCTAATCTTCAAATTAAAACATGAATTGAAAATTTCAAATATTTGTTCTAGTGTAATTCTGGAGACCATATTATATTGGTTGGGCCAAGTCTTGCAGGTGTTTTTTGTGCGCTCTAAACTTGTTGTGTCTTTCAGAACAAAAGCTAAACTGTTAATTTTTGCAACCTATATTCTATAGAAGCTATAATTAGTTAAGTTGTATTGTCTCCTAGAATATGTCTGTTGTAACCCCTTCGGAATGTGTCGAATCCGTTGTAACCCAACGCCTTCTGTTCTTTTCCTCTTTGCAGGTAAGCCCAAACTTCGATTCATACTCAGCTATTAAAAGCTTGGGATGCCACAACTTTCAAACGTATACGAAGTTGACCATCATCATCTGCCAATCGATATAACACTTTCTATTCCGTCGAGCTATGCGCCCAATGTTCGATTCGCCATTCTACAGACCAAAACCAGCTGCGTGTTCGCATCGTACTTATATATATTAATATTTATTTCGCTAGAATACAGACAACCAACAGGAATTCCGTGCATGTCTTTGATCGTGTGTGTGTGTGTGTGCTTGTGGGGCTTCTCTAAGCTAAGTTTTTGCTAATGGAATCCGGCTGCAGTGGCTCAGGGCACGTAGCCGTAGTTGTGATACGGTTGGGCGTACTGCGCCTGCGCCTGAGCCGGATGGGCGGCCAAGTACGGCAGCGTACCGAAGGTGTAGGCCGGCAGAGGGGGCGGCTGTGACGCTGCTCCAGATCCTCCAGATCCTCCTCCTCCTGCCTGCGACTTGGCGGAGCTCTTGGGCGACACCTGCGCCTTGCGCAGCGTGTTCGCCGAGTAGCCCGCCTTCTGCCAGCGCCGGCCAGCGAACAGGTCCGCCACATAGGCGCTGGTCAGGCAGGCGAAGATCACGCCCAGGGCCGCCCCCGCCAGGACATCGCTCCAGTGGTGGTGATAGTCCGTGATCCGCGTCAACGAGACGTACCAGCCGAACATCACGAAGAGGAACTGCAGCAGGTGCTTCAGCAGCTTGGACAGACTGGTGCTGAGCGCCGCCTGCAGGTAGATGGCCAAATAGAGCATGGCGTACATGGCCAGGCTGGCGTGTCCGCTGGGGAAGGACTGGTTGAGCTGCCGGAACTGGAAGTCACTCATGTTGGCATTGCTGCACGTGAAGCTGTCGATGTAGCGTCCCAGATTCTGTCCGTCCTGGCAGCCACTCCCATCGGGCAGCATGGGCTGACACACGGCATAGAAGTGTGGCCTCAACCGTCCAATGCACAGCTTCGAGAGCATCGTGGTGAACGTGACCATGGCCAGGCCGTACAGGTAGAACAGAACCTGGCGGTACAGCTTACCCAGGCGCTGGCCCATCCGGCAGCCATCCCGCTTGCCGGACTCTCTTGTGGGCCCTGCGCCGGGCAGCTGCTTGAAGAGCTCCACCACGGCGATCACCGCCGTGGGCACGGCCAGGGCGATGGCGATGACCAGCTCGTGGCCAATGGTGCTCTCGCGGAGCGGGTAACCCAGCGACTCGTCGCCGCAGAAGAAGCCGCGACGGAAGGGACGCACCAGCTTGTGGAGCAGCAGACTGGCCACGCTGAGGGCCGCCCAGATCAGCAGGTCGCAGAGCCCGCGGGCCAGCTTCGAGTACTTGGACATGGTGCGAGCTGCGGATCGACTCAACCGGCTGGCACACCGCGCTTAACTAACCGAGCGAGGCTGGTGAGTCGCCCAACCTGGCCGTGATTTGGGGCCGCTCTCTGCCGCTCTCTGCCCGCTTTTGCGGTCCCTCGACTGAAAGCTGGTGCGTGAATGGTGATTGGTGATTCCGCTCCGACGACAGCTGTTGTTATTGTTGTTATTGCTGGTGTTGCTGGGGCAACTAGCTAGTCTTTGTTGTTTGTTTGCCTCTTCAGCTAATTACAAGCGAGTCAGAGAAACATTCGGCCAATTGGCAGACAAAGGGCAATCAAGTTCTAGGTGGTGGGCTATGAAAATTCTCGCATTGGAGACACCAAAAACGCAAGCTCCAGCCTATATAGCCTATGAAATGCAAACTTAAGCACTCATATTTCATCTACAATCGGTGCAAAAATAAACAACACACAGTGTTTACAGTATGAAGAAACTGGTTTTCAAGAGAAAATCTCGCCACAGCGATAAGACTCCGGAAAGATGCAAACTGGTTTCTGCGGAGAGAGTCTTCGGCGGATTCTCGCCTTCTTCTCCTTTCGCTGCAGATTCGGATACTGCACTTTTCGGGTGCGTGTGCATAATTTCCTAGTGGGCAGCTGGACAGCTGGGCAGCCAGTGGAACCGACGCAAGAAAGGCTGGAAAACCCACTGGATCCACAATGGGCATCACTCAAGTGTGGCAATTTCGGCCTGCCGCTGGTTAATTGCTCTGGTGAGTCGTTCATCGATTGGCGCTGACTTGTGAGTGTTTGGGAATTTCACTTTTTGGATTTTCTGGGCCACTGACTCACTCCCTGGCAGCGATCGCACCGCAGCAGCAGAATGCCGGAATGACGGACTGCAGGTGATTTCTCACCTGTTCGCTGACAGCCGTTCTATGACGTCGCCAAGTCAGGTGTGCCTTCGACGCTTCTGCGGAGTGACGTCTGCCCAGAGCTTAAAGCTTTGGCCCCTGAATCGATCGAGTATTACCTGGCGAGGAGAGAAACTGGCTTGGAGATTCCATCCGCTGGTTATTTTTATGGGATTGCTAATTGAAACGACCAGCAGATGAGGTTGGGCAGGGCACAGGGCGGGAGCGATGCGGCTCGTTAGCTTGTAAAATGAACGTCGGGCCTCGACCATTATTCGGTGTTTATTAAAATGATATTTTCATTATTTGATTGGTAATTCAGTCATTATGGTGATTTGAACGCAAACACTTAAGTTTTATGAATTTTAAAGCGATAATTTGGTCATTTGATCCAAGACTTTCAGCAGGCTTAAGAACATAATATTTTATTTATGAGCAAATTGTCAAGATTGGAGTACATAGCAAAGTAATACGATTTTATGTTGTATATTTTTTACTTTCGATTCTTATCTGATCATCTGAACCAAGGCTCAAATTTATGTATTCAACATACATTAATCTAAAATAACTTTTTGGAAAGAACTTTTACAATTATTTCGGTTAATAATAATAGGTTGAGAAAAATTTTAAATTTTAAGTTTCCCCAAAGACATTTTTTTTAGAAATTCCCTTGAAATTCAGGTGGTAATTTTTACCATTTTGTACTCTATTTTTTTTTTAGTTTTAGGGAAAATTTTCGTTTTCTTTGACGAAATAAAATTATTTTTTCACCGATAATGCAAACTTTATCTTCGTAAAAAGACTTTTCGGTGCGATCAATATTAATTTATTTATAGCACGAAATCTTTTGACCTATTGTTCCTATTAAATTCAATCAAAGCATTTTTGAAAATACTCTTTTTACGATTTATAAAAAAATGGACAAGACAAAATGTTAAAACTAAACATTTTTGGCAACATCGAATCACAATATAAGAAAAACATTTGCTATAAGTATACATTTTATTTAATTTTTGGTCAAAACTCTTTCTAATTCAATATAAACCATAGAGAATTTTATCAACTTTAATTAACGAATGTTTTTTCAAATAAGTTCACTAAAAGAGACTTGACCCTTGAAATCCGGAAACGATGTTCAGCGTGCAGAGGCCAATAAAAGCCTCCATTTTGAAGTTTGTCGCGATAAAAACAACTAATTATTGTTCACTAAAATTATATTAAACAGTAAATGAATGTTTGAATTTTTTCGGCATGCCAAATAAAATTTTAAACTTAGACTTATTTTTTAATAAATAAAAAATTGTATTCATAATAAGACTTTCAAACCTTTCGACTTTGTTGTATCATAAAGCTGACATCGGAACAATCGGATACATAATTGATAAAAATATAAGTTTATTGTTTCTAAACATACCCTCACAAAATTTGAGCATTACTTTTTTGTATTTTCAAACGTACATGTTTTATTTTATAAAAATCGGTCGACCGAATGAGAAAATTGTAGAGAATTTAATGTTTGCTTACAGGAAAATATATTTATTTTTCAAAATAAAACTAAACATACATTAGAAGCTTAAGATGTTGATGGTGCGATCGTTACTATTTCCTAATCTCACTGTTGGTTTCATAAATAAATAAACAAGAAAAAATCGTAGCCGTCGTTTGTTCATATCGCATTCATACCATTAATGGAATAAGAAGGTATATCGACAGCCAAATTTGATCTTATTGTTTTATTACTTATAATAAATGAAGAAAATGCGTATAAAGTTGTAAGCTTTCTAATAGTCATAAAGAAAAATTTGTATATAGATATGTTTAATAGTAAATAAAATAGAGGCGATTGCAAGGAAAATCTTGTAAGATATTTTTATAAACGGCGCCAATCGCGTAACGTCATAACTAATTACTGGTGGTTTGATTAATATTGGATGAGGTTTCTGGCTCTCAATCGCTTGGGTGCATTGCACGTGCAATTAATTAAAATCAATTCCAGTGGATCTCGATTAAATTGCTCAATCCGCGAACACTTAGCGTTGGAATAGGTTCGCAGACCTTAAGGGGTTTTGCGGCATGCTGTTATTGCTTCATCACCGAATCGATCTACAAACGTCATTTCGGATTGTTCACAGCTCAAAAGGTGGCCGAACTACTGCACTTCCTGTCCAAGTAGCAAGCTTCCCTCACTGATTACACCTGATTGTCACTTCGTTTCTACCGTTTTTAGCTCCAGCTCCCTTGGAGACTCACACTTTACCCGTCAACTCGCAACAACTTTTGGCGTCGCGGTAATGTCAACAATGGCATATTGTCGCAGCGCAAACAGATTTCCCCATGCTAATCGCGGAATGCCAATGCCAAGTGCTTCCCCCGGGAGGGGCACTGCCTTGCATCGAAATCTTTATCGGATCGAAACAAATGGGATCGGATCGCCAGAAGTTGCTCACTTGCGTACTGCGTCGCAGTGTTTCCGCCGATTTGCGTCCGTTTCGCTATCAGCTATCAGCTGGGCATCGCGATTTCACGCTCACACCTCGCCGAGCGAATTCCTACACCTTTCCGCTAATCAGCAATCTGGGTAGAATTGAAAACACTGGTTCTTTAATAACTTGTCTCAGCAGTTTCACTTTTTCACTAGACAGGAAGTGCTTCTTGGGTTCGCAAAGCCCGAATCCCATCCAGACATGTGCCGAGTCAGACTTTCTTGTTTACCTCAGTCAGCGAGGGACCTGCGGACTGGGGGCGTAGATGTTATTTACTTGTACCCAGAAAATCGCGAGGGTTGTGTAATCGTCGTTGCTAATAGCCGCTGGATCTGCGTATTTAACAAATTATGTCAATAATAAATTTTGATTTAGTGTCGCCTCAGTCGAAGGTGTCACCAAAGAAGCTCCCGCTGCCATATAAAACCAGAAACCTTACGATCTCGAGCCAGGCTGGATGATGACAATAATGGTCTTGAATACTCGTTTCTTGGCGCGTGCTGCGGTCGTTCATTGATACGACTTTGCACACAGACGATCTGGCCAAAGGGGCGGATCTGTTGGAGATCAGCTTACAGTGTGTCCAAGCTAGCGGTTACCGTTCTGTGTTGTGTAACGAGATAGCCCTATAATTATTAGCTATATTGGGGACAATTTGACCATCACTTCGGGATTTCGATTATCCCAACCCACAATTACTATTTTTCAAAGTAATGAACACCCAATAATTACATGGTTAAACCTCATTTAAAGTTTAGATTGCATTTCTTATTACAAAACTTGTTTCCAAATCCATAAATCAGACATTGTATAAATGCAAGTTTGTGGCTAAGCAAGCATGGCTTCAAGTCTGTTGTACTATAAAATCAAACATTTTAAATAAACTTATTTAAAATTAATTATTTGCTATTAGTTTCGATAAATAAAATTGAATTTACAATTGTAAGTAAGAAAAAACATGTGTCAGTCTTCGCTTTTACATTAATCTGCTATTAAAAAATGAGAAATCAAATTCAAAGACTTGCGTAGATGGTAATGACGGTGAATCGGTAAAGTGCTTATATCGGAATAATTTGGAAATAATTTCCACTTCCATCGGAAATTGCCCTCAAGGTGTCGACTTGGTCTGAATTAAGCCAGGAACACTTAGGTCGGCCATTTGCATTTGCATTGCCATTGTCCGACCAACTCTTGGAGTAATTTCCTTTCAGTGGGACTCCGAAATTAGCATAAATTAACAGCAAATAGTTGCAAAGCACAGCAATTCGAATGTAAATTGAGCAGCTGAAAATTGCCATAAAGAAGCCCGATTCGTAGTGCAAATACAAAGTGGCCATAAACTGGCTGCAGTTTATGTACTGCGGCTCCAACTGGGAGTCTGGCCAGTGTTTGCCTTCGTCTCCATTACCAAAGAACCCACTCCGCCCAGATCCCGCTCACTGTACTCACTGTAAGTCCGAGCAACGACCTACATCAACACATCGACTCAACACAAATGCCACAAAGGCACGCAGCGCAGCAGCAACCGTCTTAAGTCACGTCGGAATGACCTACTCCTAAGGCCACCCCAGGCAGCCGAAGGAGGTACACTCCTCCACTCTACTTCGCCTTCGCCTTCGCCTCCATCTCGCATCCACATCCACATCCACATCCACATCCAAATCCATATCCACATCCATCTGCTTGGCGTCCGCATTTCGAGCGACTCGAATGCAACTCTTTCATTATGCGCAAATGCCAAGTCGCAGGCAAACAAACCTAAGCAAACTGAGCAAACTGAGCAGAGCAAACCTTGAAACAATTCAATAGTTTCCTCATTAGCAACATTCGTGCCAAAGCCAACAGGCGACAAGAGAAGTGAGCCTGAGCGGGACTACACTGAACAAAATAACCGACTAGTTTCATTTTTAACCGACTCTGTGTATGCGACTCTAAGCCGCTAAAAAATGTAAGCGATTTTTGAAAATATTGTTTATTGATCATGATGAATAAAATTGGATATGTTTCATTAATATTTACAAAAATATCTTGCGATCAATTGTATTGTAATCGCCAAAGATATTCCCTTAACAGCAAAATAAAACGTAAGTGCCAAAAAAGTTTTGTATAACCTATAATTTTTTTAATAAAGATGCAATGTCCAACCATATCTATACTTTTCCAAATCAAATTAAAGAAATGCAAAGACTTGTTACATTCGAGATTCGGACGTTCACTTAACATTGGCCATTATTTGTTAACTTCTAAAAAGAAACATTCGAAACTAAAAACCATACACTTAGAATATAAATTTCTGATGACTAAATAGTTTTTTTATGTTTCACAGTTTTTAGTTTTCAGTTTCAGATATATAAGAAACATAAAATTACCATTTTTCCAACAAAAATTATTTTTTTTGCTTGTTGTTTTCCTTCTAAAAATGTTTTGGAAAATCATAGTTCAAAATATCTTTGATTAGAAATGAACTTGGCTCTATTAAAATTCAATTGTAGTTTCATGGTCCTTATCATGGTTCTGTTATAGTATACTTAATTTTGTCTTTCAATCATAGCTACATAATTTTTTTTCCTAATTGTTTTACCACAAAAATGGTTTTCTACTCAAGCCATAATGTTTTAAAAATAAAACAGTCCATCCAGTCCCCTCATATACAATTCTCGAAGTTCCGAAAGACCTCGATGGACTTAAAATTCCAAAAATATATAGCAACAATTCAAAACTACAAATTACTTCTGAAAAAAAAATTCAAAAATACACAACTTGTTTGTGTGACAAAGTCTGCACAAATGAATTCCTGAGAAAATCTTGTAGTGATGCTTTATGGACATTTCAGTTTTATTTAGAATTCCTATCTGAACTTAACAACTTTTAGTCTAGTGAATTTGTTTAAGCTTTCCGAGTGTACGAGCGAACTGATAAGGAGTACAAGTACCATTGAAACACAATATCAATGCGAACCGAACTGGCAGCTCTGGCAACCTTCGACGTGGTGGGCCTTCTCTCAGTCGCAGTCTTAGTCTCAGATTCAGTTTCTGGTTGGGTTCTCCGATCCGAAGACCGTAGGCCGTGGGCCGCAGCCCGCAGACAGTAGACAGTAGACCGTAGACCGTAGACCGCGTAGCCACTCCAGCGGGCCAGAGGCGAACGCCTGCTTCGATCGGGGGGCAGTCGCTACCGGCAGCTCGGCAGCGATCGTCGCCGTCGCAGTCGCAGTCTCAGTCGCTGTCGCAGTCACAGCCAGCTAGCTAGTCACATTCGTCGACGATCCCAAACAAAGCGTCAGAGCGGCCCAGAGCCCCATAGACATCGAAACGGAGTGCGGACAAAGCGGTTCGAGGTTCGTGGTTTCAGGTTCGCTGGTTCGCTGGTTCGCAGGTCCGCTGGTCCTCTGGTCCGCTGCCATTGGTTCATAGGTTCACTCGCGGTCCGCAAGGCGGTGCAGACTGACAGCCGGCTGTTAAGGTAATTCGCTAATTTCCCGCAAAGAAAAGCCCCTTTGAACTCGGCCCGGAAAGTCGTGCGCGAGTTTTTCGAAAGCAAAATCGCAACAGTGCGAGTAAGTGCGCAATTTGTGTGACAGCCGAAAAAAAATAAGCGGGGCGAATGAACGAATGGCCACAGCGCGATATTGGGCGTGAGGCACAAACAAATGTACTGTCACAGAAACCAGTGCCAAGTGTCAAGCGATTGGCCTGAACCCACGCGATAAGACCAGCTAATCCGGAAAGGCCATCCATCCATCCATCCATCCATCCAACCACCATTCGCCATTCGCCATTCGTCATGCACACCTTCAAGAGGGGCTTCTTCTGCTCGGATCTGAGCATCCGCTATCCCTACAGGGAGTGCACCATTACGGTGCCGATGCTGCTGCTGTTGATGCTGCTGCTCCCGATGCTCTTCGTGGCGGTGGTGGAGGTGATGCGCATCTGCAAGCGCTTCCGCATGCGGCTCTATCTGCGCAATTTGTGGCGCGCGGAGGCGACCTTCAGCTTCGGCTTCGTGGCCACCTACCTGACCACGGAGCTGGCCAAGCATGCGGTGGGCCGGCTGCGTCCTCACTTCTTCCAGGGCTGCCAGCCGCGACTGGACGACAACAGCAGCTGCTCCGACCCGCAAAACGTTGATCTGTACGTGGAGCAGTTCCACTGCACCAACCCCAACCTCTCCATACGCCAGATCCGCGAGCTCCATGTCAGCTTCCCGAGTGCGCACAGTAGCCTCAGTTTCTACTCCATGCTCCTGCTGGCCCTCTACGTCCACGGGGTGTGGCGCGGGCGGGGAGGGGTGCGTGTCCTGCGGCACGTCCTCCAGTTCCTGCTCCTCATGGCCGCCCTCTGCGTCTCGCTGAGCCGGGTGGCCGACTACTGGCACCACTGGTCCGACGTCCTGGCGGGCGCTCTTCTGGGCATGACCTATGCCTTCCTCACAGCCGCCTACGTGGGCGATTTAGTGCGGCGTCATCCTCGTTCCGCAGGCAGCCACTTGCCCGCCTCCCTGAGCTACAGCCACCACCTGCACCACCACCACCAGCTGATGGCGGACAACAACAACTCGCCGGCCTCCGCCAAGGTGCACTTCCTGGCGGCGGCCGCCTCGATGACCACCACCACGCCACTGGACGACATCCAGGACTCGGACGTGGAGGACTCCAGGGAAGAGTCCGAAGTCTCACACGATTCACACGACTCCCAAGAGGAGGAGGAGGAGGAGGAGGATGACTACAAAGCACAGCTGTCGCACCCCTCCACTCCGCCCAGCGACCTGACCCACGTCGTCTGAGACACCGAGACACCAAGCCACCAAGCCACCAAGCCACCAAGCCACCGAGACACTAAGCCGGAAAAGTGGCGCACGGGGGAATAATCAGGCTTATCGGCCTGCCGGCTGCTATTTCGACTATTTTTCCATTTAGAAATCGAAGCGAACAGAAATATGTGATAAGCGCGCGGCGCACTCTCTACCTGATATGCCACTGTCCACACCCCACCACCCACCTTCCAACCACCTTCCACCCACCTACAAGCAATGCCCGGCGGTTTTCGAAATCCAAAGCGATCGGTTGTGCAACTTAGCACCGATCCGGGAAATCGGTTCGGCCTTCGAATGAGAGGAATTTTGGCCAAGTGTTTCGCCAAAAGTATCCACTGCTGATACGCCAAGAGACGTATCTCCTCGGTGGCTACTGGCTGCCGCCGCAACTTGTTTGTTTGTAAACAATGCCGCAGTCACGTCGCAGTCGCCGCCGCCGCCGCCGCTGCTTTTGAAGTGGCCAGCCCGCCAACGTGGAGCTCCCCCCAATCAGCAGCGACAATCTCTGGGCAGCGACGTCGACTGCATTGCTCCACGCTGCTGGCCGATAATGCATTATAGCATTATACCATATACATAGTAGAAACGCCCGAC